GCTGAGGGAGCGCCGCACTGTCGGAGGGTCAGTGCTGAGGGAGCGCCGCACTGTCGGAGGGTCAGTGCTGAGGGAGCGCCGCACTGTCGGAGGGTCAGTGCTGATGATAACTTTTTCTGCTCCCTGCCTGATAGGACACCTCCGTGCTGGATAGTTCCGCTCACCGTACTCGTGTCGATTTGAACCGGAAACGTGTCCACCGTCCCCCTGTCTCCCAGTCGTGGGATCGTAGAGAGGCTCAGGCTGGAGCTCCTGAGGAATCCTGGATGTTCCGAGACTCGACAGGTGTGAGCGAGGGAGGGACAGGAGAGAGCGTGTCTGTGCGCATGTCTTTGTCTGCACGAGTGTCTGTGTCTGTGTGTGTGTGTGTCTGTGTGTGCGCGTGTGCGTGTCTGTATGTGTGTGTGTGCGTGTGTGTCTGTCCGACTTTGTACATATGTGCCTGACTGTATTAGTGTCTGTGTGTGTGTCTGTGTGTGTGTCTGTCTGTCTGTCCAACTTTGTATGTATGTGCCTGACTGTATTAGTGTGTCTGTCTGTGTGTGTGTGCGCGCATGCATGCATGTGTCTGTCTGACTTTGTATGTATATGCCTGACTGTATTAGTGTGTGCACGTGTCTGTGTGTGCGCATGTCTGTGTGTGCGTGTGTCTCTGTGTCTGTGTGTGCGTGTGCCTGTGTGTGTGTGTGTGTGTGTGTATGCCTCTGTGTGTGCGTGTGTCTCTGTGTCTGTGTGTGCCCGTGTGTGCATGTGTCTCTGTGTGCGTGTGTCTCTGTGTCTGTATGTGTGTCTGTCTGTGTGTGTCTCTGTGTCTGTGTGTGTCTCTGTTTCTGTGTGTGCATGTCTCTGTGTCTGTGTGTGTCTCTGTGTCTGTGTGTGTCTGCATCTGTGTGCATGTGTCTCTGTGTGCGTCTATGTGTCTCTGTGTCTATGTCTGTGCGTGTCTCTGTGTGTGCGTGCGTGTATCTGTGTGCGTGTGTCTCTGTGTCTGCGTGTCTCTTGTGCGTGTGTCTCTGTGCCTGTGTGTGCGTGTCTCTCTGTGTGTGCGTGTATCTGTGTGTCTCTGTGTGTGCGTGTCTCTGTGTGTGTATGTGTCTCTGTGTCTGTGTATCTCTGTGCCTGTGTGTGTCTGTCTGTCTGTCTGTGTCTCTGTGTCTGTGTGTGTCTCTGTGTGTCTTTGTGTGTGTGTGTTTCTGTGTGTGTCTATGTGTCTCTGTGTCTGTGTGTGTGTCTGTCTGTGTGTGTCTGTGTGTGCGTCTCTGTGTCTGTGTGCGTCTCTGTGTGTGTGTGTCTCTGTGTGCGTCTGTGTGTCTTTGTGTGTGCGTGTCTGTGTGTGTGCGTGTGTCTCTGTGTCTGCGTGCGTGTCTGTGTGTGCGTGCGTGTCTGTCTCTGTGTGTGTGCATGTGTCTGTGTGTGCATGTCTGTCTCTGTGTGTGTGCGTGTCTCTATGTCTGTGTGTGTCTATGTCTCTGCGTGTGTCTGTGTGTTGTTTCCCTGTCTTTCTCACTCTTTCCCTAGCTTGCTTTACCCTCTCGCTCTTTCTCTCTACTGTCTCTCTCTGTCTCCGTCTCGCTCTGTCACTCCTTCTCTTTTCCACCCGCTTTCTCACGCTCCTCTCCACTCTCCCTCATTTTCTTAACTCTCCCCTACAACACCACCCCCTCTCTCTCTCTCCTTTCTCTCTCTCTCACACCCACACCTCCTCTTTCTCTCCCCCCATTCCCTCTTACTTTCTCTGCACTGCCCCTCTCTTCCACCATTCTCTATCTCAAAATTCCTCTTTCTCTACCAACCTCTCTATCCCCCCCATTTCTCTTAAACCCATCTCTTTCTCCAAACCCGCTCTCTCTCCCGCTCCTCTCTCTCTCCTTCTCTTTCTGCCCTGTCTCTCTGCCCTGTCTCTCTCCCTCTCTTTCTCCTCCCAGTATGTGGACTCTGTCAATATCTTTCTATGTCTGTCTCTCTCTAATCTTTCTCTCTCTGGGGGTTACATGGAGACAGAGACTATATTGATATCTCTCTCTTTTTCTCTCTCTCTCCTCCTCTGCTCTTTCTCTGTCACTCTCTCTCTTCCCCCTCCTCATCGTTCTCCCACCCCAGCTCTCTCTCCCTCCTCCCACCTCTCCCTCTCTCTCTCACCCCCTCTCTCCCTCCTCCTTCCCCACTCTCTCTGGGGTTTACAGGGGCCTGGAGAATGTGTCTGTGCCTGTGAGGATTCTGCTGTCTCATTGGCTGCTTCTTTCACCCCCAGAGGTCCGACCCCCTCGATCTGACAAATCGGACGAGGAAGAGGAAGTGGCCAAGTCTCCGAGGTTGGAAGGAGCCAATCCAAAGGGAGCAGGGTCAGGCCGGAGAGTTCAGCTCTTCCCAGGAATGGACTCCTCCTTCAAGGTCAGTGACTCTCAACAATGTCCCATAGACACTGTCGCACCACCCTCTCTGTGCACCTCCATCCCTCCCCACCTCCCTCCATCCTTGTGCACTTCCCCCATCCCTCCCCAACTGCCTCCATCCCTCCCCAACTGCATCCATCCCTCCCCACTCCCATATCGTGCTCTACCTCCCCTCCATTCTTGCCCACTCCCTCCATCCCTCCCCACCTCCCTCCAACCCTCCCCAACTGCCTCCATCCCTCTCGATCTCCCTCCATTCCTCCCCAAGTGCCTCCATCCCTCCCCACTCCCGTATCGCTCTCACGCCCCCCCATCCTTGCCCGCTCCCTCCATCCCTCCCCACCCCTCTCCATTCTTGCCCACTCCCTCCATCCCTCCCCACCTCCCTGCATCCCTGTCTATTCCCTCCATCCCTCCCCATTTCTCTGCCTCCACTCACTCTCTCTCAGACAGTGACAAAAATACAGAGAGATGGGTGGGAGGAGGAGAGTGTGATAGAGGGAAGATGGTAGCACAGAGAGAGAAAGAGAGGCAGTAAGAGAAATCATATGAGCAAGAGAGTGAGGCAGAGACACTGAGACAAAGCGACTGAAGAAAGGAAAGGCTGGTTGATAGTCCTCTCTACAATTCACCTCATTATTCCCTCTCTTTCCTTCTCTCTCTCTCTCTCTCTCTCTCTCATTCAGTTCTGGTCTCCCTGCTATAGGAAAGATGTTGTGAAACTTGAAAGGGTCAGAAAAGATTTACAAGGATGTTGCCAGAGTTGGAGGGTTTGAGCTATAGGGAGAGGATGAATAGGCTGGGGGTTATTTTTCCTGGAACGTTGCAGGCTGAGGGGTGACCTTATAGAGGTTTATAAAATCATGCGGGGCATGGATAGGGTGAGTAGACAAGGTCTTTTCCCCAGGGTGGGGGACTCCAAAACTAGAGGGGCATAGGTCAAAGGTGAAATAGGAAAGATTTGAAAGGGACATAAGGGGCAACTTTTTCACGCAGAGGCCCACGATGTTGTGCCGAACTTTTACCCTAATCCTAAGGTCTATCTAACCTCCACCTTATACTATCAACCATATGCCTATCTAATAGCTGCTTAAATGCCCCTAATGAGGCTGACTCCACTACCCTCTCCAGCAATGCATTCCACGCCCCTACCACTCTCTGAGTAAAGAACCTACCTCTGACGTCTCCCCTATATCTACCTCCACTCACTTTAAAACTATGCCCCCTCGTAATAGCTACCTCCACCGGAGGAAAAAGTCTCTGGCTGTCCACTCTAGCTATACCTCTGATCATTTTGTACACCTCTATCGTCACCTCTCATCCTTCGTCATTCTAATGAGAAAAGCCCTAGCTCTCTCAAACTTTCCTCGTAAGACCTTCCCTCCATTCCAGGCAACATCCTGGTAAATCTCCTCTGCACCTTTTCCAATGCTTCCACATCTCTTCTGTAATGAGGTGCCCAGGACTGGACACAATACTCCAGATGTGGCCGAACCAGGCTTTTGTATAGCTGGAACATAACTTCACAGCTCTTGAACTCAATCCCTCTTTTAATGAAAGCTAACACACCATACGCCTTCTTAACAACTCTATCCACCTGGGTGGCAGCTTTCAGGGAACTGTGAACATGAACCCCAAGATCCCTCTGCTCCTCCATACTGCCAAGAATCTTTCCATTAACCCTGTATTCTGCTTTCAAATTTGTCCTTCCAAAATGAATCACCTCACACTTTTCAGGGTTAAACTCCATCTGCCACTTCTCAGCCCAGCTCTGCATTCTATCAATGTCCCTTTGTAACCTAGAACAGCCCTCCGCACTATCCACAACTCGACCCACCTTAATATCGTCCACAAACTTACTAATCCATCCTTCCACTCCTTCATCCAAATCATTTACAAAAATCACAAATAGAAGAGGACCCAGAACAGATCCTTGTGGTACATCACTCATAACTGAGAGAGTGGGGAGCCTGCCACAGAAAGTGGTTGAGGCCAAAACATTGAATGTTTTCAAGAAGGAGTTAGATATAGTTCTTAGGGCTAAAGGGGTCAAAGGATATGGGGGAGAAAGTCAGAACACGAATGGAGTTGAATGATCAGCCATGATCCTAGGGGCCGAATGGCCTGCTCCTGCTCCTATTTTGCGTATTTCTCTCTGTCTCATCATCAGTTTCATATTTAATCATTTTTGTGGAGTGGAGTTTGAAGAATTGTTGATCTGGGAGATTGCATTTGCTAAAGTGGTCAATGAGATAATGGTTCAAAAAGCTGTTTCTTGGAGATGTAATATCTGGCTTGCTGATTGTCCCATACCCAGTTCCTGCTTTGGGGATTGTTGAGAGAAGTTAGGGAGAATGCTGCTGAGAGAGACGGTTGGGTAGGAGGGGTGCGAATTCCAAGCTCAGCTTTCCTGTTTGTAGAAAGACCCCTTGCTGCAGTAACTGTACCTCTGCCCCAACTACTCTGTCAGGAGAAGCCTCTGGGAGGGAGAGAGAGCTGATATTTCCCAAATGACTGAACCCACAAACTTATCCCGAGACAACAGCATGCATGCACTGACATCGCTCTGTTTGTGGCAGAATATCAGATCAATATTGCCTGATCATCTCAAACCGTTTCACCATCAACAATAAGGCTTATTGGCTAAAGGTGGTTCTTTTTTACAAAATCTCTGCAGGGAGAAATGCAGTTGTTTTTGTTTTATATGGTGTGTGTGTCTGTGTGTCTGTCTGTGTGAGTGTGTGTCTATTATTTTTGGGGGTTAGACAGTAATATGCACACATTACAAACTTGATGCATTAAGCAGTTTCACATCTTGATTGGAGAACTTTTACTTTGTAATATATTGATGTTTTTGTGTTTATTGAAGGATGCTGATTGACAGATCTCCGTGTGTGTCTCTGTCCCCCTCCCCCTACTTCCATCTCTTGCGCGCTCTCTCTCTCTTCCTGTCCCGGTTCTTTAGAAACGGATAAAGTCACGGAATAAATCAGCCAACGACAGTGAGGATCCAGACGCTGCCACAGCGCCCATGCAACGTTCCAAATCACTGCGCTTTCCCGTCCAGATCGGACACGCTTTCCGGAAGGTGCTTCCAGGAAAAGCTGAAAAAACTGAAAGGTGAGTGTGGGGCGGGAGCGGGTGCGGTGTGTGCCAGGGGAGCGGGTGCGGTGTGTGCCGGGGAAGCGGGTGCGGTGTGGGTCAGGGGAACGGGTGCGGTGTGGGTCAGGGGAACGGGTGCGGTGTGGGTCAGGGGA